GCTAACCAATAACAACAGCTACCAGTCATCATCATTGGGAGAAATCAATGGAAAGTTCCTTCCTTCACTTATTTATGCAGCAGTTTTACCTACAGGCAGCAAGGATGAGAATGTCAGAGGAAAAGCAAGACAGTCCTTCATTACTCTGAAGTCACTACGGAAATGTACTGCATTTGGTATAACGAACACGATTAAGAGTTGTGATTTTGATTTCAAGCCAGTGATTACGTATTCTCCGGAGAACTGATGTGATACGGGAATCATTCCCAACAGACTACATACATTTTATCAACAGCTGTTCATGTCAGTATTGAAATCAGATGATTAAGCGTAAAAGATAAGCTACAAGAAACTTTGATAACGAACCAACCAGCAGCTTATGCGATCGCTCCACAAACGTGCCGAAAGAAGAGGAGATAAGTCGGTAGCATGCTGGGGAGACCACATTGCATGCCAGGCTTCCAAGAAACAACAAGTTGGACGTCATTCAAAGCTGACTAGATAGAGATCATATGGTGAGGAACACAATAAAAATAATAAGTACTGAAATTCTGTTTCTCCCCGAACAAAGAACCTTCAGTATTGTTTCAGTCGAAAAGGGCATCACGTCTCGCAGCAATTATATTATTATGTTGGCTACTATAATTAAATCCAATGGATTTTTGATTTCTGCCAATTTGTCATATCCTGTTTCACCAGGATCTCTTTTACCTAGAATCAGCGTCGGTTAACTGAAGTTCCTAAGAGTTCCACTAGAACTTTAAGAGTTAATCATAAATCTGCGAAATCCTTAGTATATCAAAACCGATCAAGCACGTATACACTGTTGATTTGTTTTTAGTGATTCCCTAGACTATGTTGGTTCAGAGCGAAATTTCATCTGTGGTAACACAACTGACTTCAAACTTCACGTCTATTGATTGCTATTCTACAGTTGGAGTTGGACCAACCAAGTTACATGTGATGAGAATAGTTTCTTATGGCACAAAGCATCACAGCTGATAAATTCATAATTAGACCACCTACTTAGATCACGGTTTAGGCTAAACTATTCATTACCTATTCCATGGCTTCCTTGACTCATGTAGGTGGTGTAAATCACCAAATTTCAAATATATATATATATATATTCAGTTTTCTGGACATCTTTAGATTATTTCAGGATGACAGACTAATTCTTACATATTCTAGTAGTCATATATATTAGATGGTTGGAGGCAATCGGCAGGAAGCCTTGGACCTAGGTTTCATGCTAGTTGGCACGACTGGCTGATAGAATTCAGTCTACACCAATCAGAGGACTAGACGCATCACACTAGTTACTAGTGTCAAATCAAAGTCATATATATTGTTGGGATCCTTTCACTCTAGTGCATTTTAAAGGTTGTGCACCTTTTAATTTCTAACAAAAAGTTGGCCAGTACTACATATCTTGGAGGCCTTTATAGACTGCTTTTACATGTACTATAAGATGTAAACCAGACATCATTAGGCATTTTAATGTCTACAAAGATGTCAAAAATGTAACTGTTTTGGTTAATTCGGAATCTTTTTATACAATTAAACCATTTACATGTATAACTACATGTATATATAATGTTTGACAGGTATTTAAAAATAGAACTTTGTTTGGAAGACTAGGTGATCTATTGTGAAAGGATGACCACACGTTTTGACTTAAGGAAAAATTAAGAGAAATTTTGTGAGGTATAGAGAATAAGAAGTGAAATGTTTACATGATATACTCGACCCGACATTTAATTTTTAGCTATAGTGATTGATCTGGCTATTCAGCTGACAAGTTTCATGTATTAACGGTGTTTTAAAATCATTCACATAAAACATAGACATCTTGCTATGCGTGTCAAATCCTGAAAGAAAAATCCCGAAAGTGCAATAAACAGAAGATAGGTAGTGGTGCTATTCTAGAAATATTTCAGGTCAAAGGTCAAATTTAAAAATTCTAATTTGCAGTATTCATGAAGATCGGGTAGAAAAGATAAAATAGGATTATAAATACTGGAAAACTCATCAGCTTGTATAAGTACGGGCTAAGGACATAGTATTAACGAAATGCGCAGGAGGTTCGGACATATGAAGATAAAAACACTAATCAAATCCAATAATACAGATAGGGATTTGAAAAGGTAAATATCACAAATAACCGACAACGATGGACTAGAAAGGTAATAGGATAATCATTTTTGGTAAGACTGACTTTTCATGATGGCCACGGTTAGGACAATGGCTGAACGTATTTCTTTCGGACACACAGAGTAGGCTTGAGCTTTTAGATCGCCAGTGCTTCAGCTATTCCTAGATGTCTTGATTTCACTCCCTTTGGTTTGGTTAGATTGGATCTTGTATATGACTTTGAAGGACTTTTCAGATGGAGCTTAATGTCCCGTATTCAACAGATGTTCTGACATCTAACTGTATACTTCTTTGCGTTCTCCTTTTGCTAACCATGCTGAAGAGTGTTCCCGAGAGCGTTTTACAAGCGGACGCATGGTACGGTAAATGTACTCAGCTTCACAAAAGCAAGTGAAATTGTATATGCATGGTGAAGTGGCGAAATGCGAGAGCTTGTCTTTCACGTGCTGGGTGAGTAGCTTCTTGCGAGAGAATGTTTTTCGTAGGCTGGCGACGAAGTATGTTTTATTGTGAGACTTCGAAAACCGTTTACGGAGAATTTCTGCTTCGGTATCACTTGTAAATTCGAGGTTCAATATCAGCATCTTTTTGGGGGCAACTTGGACTTTTTCAGGTGTTTTCCTTGGTTTTAGGTTCTTATCTATGAATCTGGGTGGGAAATCCGTTTTCACTCAAGGTCCCTCGGAGATTTTTAATTCTTCGTCGACTGACCCTTCAGTACTAATCTGCCGGGTCCCGGAGGAAAGAGAGTATATTAGGTTTATCTTTCTGCTTAGAGGCCACTGCTCTGAAAGTTAATAAACTATAGATGGATCTTCTCAACAACTTACCATCATTTCTTCGTAGTTGAATGTTGATAAAATGAAACATTGAGTTAGACTCAACTTCCAGGTGAAGTCGATGTTTGGGTTATTGAGGATTCGAAGTAGGTTTTTTATATCTCATTTCTCAACACAAATAATGAAAGTGTCATGGATGTATCTCTTGTCAAGGTCGTCGATAGCTGATGATACGGAGTTAAGGACTGTTTATTCTCAGGACTCAAACAGAATGGAAACCAGGTTTAGCTAACTACATGTAAACACTTTATAAACAAAAAAGACAGTTTTACTAGATTCATCTTGTCCTATTTTTCTTATTGGTATATAATAATATCAATTTACGACATTTCTCTTTCATTCACTTGCTTTACAAGGTAATAAAATTTTATTAGATTTCAAATTTCTCCGTAGACGAGTATATCCTTTTAAATAATGAATAATGGAGTCCGAATACAAAGTTCATTTCTATGTGCTTGAATATAAGCTGTATTTAATAGACCAATGTTTATTATTATAATCAGCTATGTGGAATACGATTTACGGTGGAAACCGAATGTGAGGAAGTTGGACATCTGAGCAAATGAGCTGCAACGAATTCTTTTAGCTAAACATTCACTGAGTTAACTAATTCTTCATCTAGTTAAAGATGTATGTTTTAGAAATTTTGTAAACATCACTATATCAGAAAAACAGAGTTTTCAGTGGATTACCCTTAAATGTGTTTGCCATGTCTAGGGTGTTAATATTCAGTTAGTTTTTAGAGACGAATGATAAATACAGTTCCTTTGGCTTTGCTCTTCACAGTCATTTAAAGGCTTCAAATTTGCACCTCTGAAAAGTATAGCGATGAAGTAGATCTTGAACACTGCAAAAAGCCACTTCTATAGTGACAGGAACCCGCATAAAGATACAACGGGTTAATAGGCGTATTAGTTTACCAGTCGAGTTTATTACCGTTATAACAATTAGCGGCGCAGATATAACATACTGTCTCATGAACCCATTTCGAATCCTAATACTTTTGCAAATGGTTACAATAAACAACTGAACACTCCAAAGATTAATACCGTCTGTTAGGCTAAACTGCTTCACAGTTTCACTTTCATAAACCTATTAACAACTGAAAAACTAGAAGCATGGAATTTAGTAGAGATTGTGTCTTGGAGGTTGTTTGCATCTTGCTTCGAGAAGTGTTCATTTTTAAAAGGATGTTATTCTCCACTTGTTTTTTACTCAGTCTTATATCCTAAAACTCGTGTAGTGAACACTCAACATATAAAGTTTGCTTCTGTCTAAATTCACAAACTAGGAGAAGGTATCATGCTTACTAGTATTTTATTTTTTAAATTTTTTTGATTGTAGCTTGATTCCACACCGTATTTTTGGTACAGGCATGGAGTTTTCAGCATGTGATATCGGTAGCCCAAATTTTGCAGGCCGACCATTGATATCAGGTGTTCGTCGGCAGGGGATCGAACCCCGGACCATATGCATAGTTGGCGAGAGTCCTAACCGCTATACCTCCGACTATCGTGACCTGAATTTTCTATAGTTCTGGGCAGGAGTAACAATATGTAGACTCAAATTAATCTACTTTAACGACAGACATTTGAAAGCGCGAAGAAATGCATCCTCATCACTAATCTGAATGTTAATTAGCTGTACTCAAGAATTTGCACAAAACCAAAGGCGAACAGTACAGGTAATGGCTAAACTGAGATGAAGCAACTACCTGTCTGTAGCTAAAGTTTTCTACACATTCACTCGTCTGTTCTTTCAATATCGAGAAAGTACGATAATCAACTGCAAACACACGGCCGATTGAAACATAACAGCAATTGAACAAATTACAGATATCACCATATCAGATAACATATATTATGCTTAAGAGAGTTAATTAATTAAATGGTAAATCTATGAATACATATCATGTTTTGTTCAAAACATTATAAAAAGAATAAAACTCTATTCGAAGTTACTTCGCCTCAGGCCTGTATTCTTTTATTGAAAATGAGCGTAGGGAATTTAAACAAGATTCTTCGGTTGATTTAAAGCTCCTGAGTTATTCGATGAATTTTGATCGGAATGTAAATAATGATCATAATGATCTTGAAATGAATTTCTTGAACTGTATGTGGAGTGTGATCGTGAAGTTTGTGAGTGCTGGTTCATCATTTGCCTTGCTGAATTAGAAACATTCAATGTTCTTGCCCTTACGATATGATCTGATTCACTATAAGAAGATGTTGATACAATCGATCCTTCGATGTGTTTATTTTTATCCATTCTTTCTGGAATCGGGGGAGACTGAACAATCTGAGAAAGATGTTTATCACTAGTCAAATCAACACACTGTGTTCTTTCTGCACCTGATGCTGTTGCTTTTGTCGCTATCACTGTTGTGTGTGGATACTTTGACGTATTATTTAAAAGTCTGTAGTGATTCCAGATAAGACGTGCAATTTTAGCGGCAATATGTCGACCAGTATTCAGTGCAATTAGGCGAAGAACGAACACACCATCTTGTCCTAAAACATGTTCAGTGAAAAATGACGAAGCTTTTTTATCTGTTAACGATAGAGTTTCGTTGTTATTATTATTGTTATTATCAGAGAATAAAGAATGAGTGGTGTGTAATGGCGACTGTCGACCTTCTGACTGACACTCTGAGTTCTGTGTAGTATTCGAGGTTTTCGAGGAATGATTTGTTTTGTCATCAGCGGTATTCTCAGATTTATTAAACAATAAATTTCTAACAAAATTTGTTCTGCTTGATTGAAATGTTGACCTAAGGAAAAAAGAAAACAGCATGTGCAAAATACATTACTGAGAAGTTGAAGGATTAGCAATATTTCAAAATAACTCTCCCGACGAGTCTACGTCAGTTAGAAGACTATCAGAAATTACTTAACACTTAAAAACTGCTGCTTATTACACATGACAATACTTTCCTTACAGGTGATCCGCACTTGTCTTAACAAGCACTAACTTACCTATGCCCCGGGGCAAACGGAGGTAGAAATAACTTCATTTGTATACGAAGATTAGGTTCGTTCTCTCAAATTCCCATATCCTCGGCTATGTGTAAAAAATGATTTCGAAAGGTTGTATGGGACGCTACAAATAACCATGAAGGGGCTTTTTCTTTCCCCTTGATGAGATCTCTCAATCAAATGAGATAAGATACAGCTACCTGTGGACTTTGTTTAGCCTTTTGCAAACCATGAAGGAAGATGCTGAGCAATGTGTCTGTTAAGCTGTTTAGTTGTTCGCCTTATACTGCTTCCTCTACAGGGCCAGATAAACTTGTAAATTCATATAGAAAAGGCAGAGCTAGGTAGCTTATCTTTCTCTTGAACAATCACAAGCGGCTGGCTGAAAAATGACAAACAAAGAAACTTCCCACCTTTTCTTATTCTTAACTTCTCTCTTATTTTATGACGTTTGTTTAAGCTTCAATGATCTATCCACTTCATCTTTAGTGATACGTAAATTTTAATTTTATAAGATTTCATCTTATTTTAGTGATTGGATTGTTTACATTCTCATGCCATTTTCATTGTTCTTGTCACCACGTAAGTCAACTGCTTGTACTTTTGTTTTCATTGACCTAATTATCATCTTTATTACTGCTGTTGTTATAATCGCCGTTATTATTAACGTGTTTTAAACAATGACGTAGTAAGTGCCCTCACAATGATCATCTTAAACAATCTACAGTCACACTACACTTACCTACAGCACCAACGTAGGAAGCTATGTATGTTCATTAGAGTTAAACCAGTGAACCAAAACCATAGGAAGATGAAAATTTTCTCATTGAACATATTGATTCCTAATACACATTGCAGAGTGTATCGATGATAATTACTACCCATTTTTCGCATATCCAAATCACAGAAAGTAACACGAGGAAAATTTCCACTCTGATACCAATGTGTACCAGCTATTAGATCAGCTAACACTTGTGGTCCGAAAAAAATTGTTGTCTGACCTAAAAACCTATTAGAAAATAAAATCATATTTAAGTTGTTCTGTATTAATAATGCTAACCTGGAAGTTTATTTTTTCATGGAACGAATCAATGATTATACCAAACAATCTATTAAACGATGTAACTGAAACAGTTTCATCTCCTTTTGTAAATATTCGGTTAGATATTCGTCTTCCGAGTATGAGTTTTGCCCTTTGTATCTTTTCTAGTGAAAAATATTATAGATAAATCTGAGGTTGACGCCAAACAATCCACAAATATAGGTCTAAGATAATGGACACAACTAAAGAATACAATAAGTATTCTTTACCAGACCTTTAAAAACTGTGAAAATTCTGAAACAAAACTTAACAGTTTTATGAAATGATGGTGGGTAATATTATGTCCAATGAATATCAGTCCAGAAAGGTAATTGAATAGCATCCCACCTAGTGTTTCTTGATTCCGGCTTATCCTAAATTTTTGAGCTAATAAATAGCTTGGTTTCTATTATTTCAAAATAGCTTGGTTGCAAATAAATAACCACCGAATCACGAAATAATGCCTTTTTTCTAAAAGTCAGACTTAAATAGGCAGTATAGCTGTGTTTCATTAAGGTTTTGCATAGCCTAAATGTATCATGTATGTGAAAGTGCATACAGAGGTTCTAATATTATCTCTCTTACATCCATTCACCGTTATCTCTTCAGACAAAGAGGAAAATCGGTAATTTTACAATTTTATGAGAATACACTAGCTTTCTAAGTTACCTCACCCTTAACTCTAGTTTTACTCTCGAAGCTAAATGACCATAAACCTTAGCTCACATAATGTTTAAAGATATCTTAGAATAACCGACCACTTTTTATTGGTTAGTTAAGAGTTTACAGGACGAAACCACACACAGTTTATCAAGATGGGATCTTTTTTCATAAAAAATAATCTAATGCTCTATGACAGAACCTACATTTTAGCAATAGTCAAATGGATAGAAACTCATGGTAGTATAAAAGGCTTCTTGAAAATAGGAGAAATCAGATCTACAACTTCTCATAAAGAATAATCTTCCTAGTGCTGCAGTATTTGAAGGAAGGAATAGTCTTCCATATACTAATAGTATTTTTTTAAAACAGTTAGGCTACTACGACTACTTTGGACAGATAAGCCCTACACATTTCAGAAATCTCCTTAAGGTTTCTCATTTGACGTAAAATAGCTGATAATCATTGCTGAGCATTTGAATTGTAGTAAACCGCCGAAACTGTAGCAGCAGTTGTGCTGAAAACTGGGTGGGCTATAGCACAACATATTCATGAATATTGAACAACATCTAATTTCACTGTGTGAAAATCAGGGAATTGGCTAGCTGTTGGCCAATACTCTGATAGACTTCATTCAGATTAAGTTTTGTTTTGAAAAGTGTAACAGAGAATCTTGATAAATAAAATGTAGACAGACTGATTATTCGCCAGCAAGTGAATTTAGACACAATTAGACAATCCACCCGAATGAAGAGTAGTTCTTGGACCTATCCAAATTTGTCTTCTATTTAAATTGCATCGTGAAATGTGGAATAAACAGTCACGGAAGAATAAAGGGTCTCAAAGTAAGATAAAATACATTGGAGGCGTCTACATCGTTTATGTAGTCTTCCGCTTTAGTTTCTCTAAAGTTCACTCATATATTTTATTAAAACAAAAAAGTAGGTGATTAATTCATGTGACTTGATCAAGAGTCGTCGTAAACTGCATGCTTTTATTAAGAATAATACTGAATTGTGTATCAATCTGCTACAGACAACCCCATAAAAAGAAACTACAGAAGTGATTAAGAGTGCAAAGAATGGCAATAAAAGGCTAAAAAACGTTGAATGTCATCAAAACCGGAAAGGACAATGTCAAATGGATTTATTCTTTGTTAATGGGTAAACAATAGACTACAAGTAAGGAACCACCTACTAGGTCTAGTAAATGCTCAACTGATTTCAAAAACTTAAGTACTACTTTCGTTAGAGTCTGTAAAATAAAAATTTAACAACCAAATTTCAACATTATGGAAACTACTAACATTTCTATGGTTAAACAAATTGAAAATGTTAACGAATTCCCCACAAGGCAAATAGTCACTTTACTAACTACATTTTCCACATTAAATGTTTTGAACAGCTAAGACTGTTTTAAGTCGTCTAACTGTGATGTTCCTTAGAAAATAAATAGTCTCTGACATAAATTGCCATTTGGGACACAGAATTGTTATGAACCAACAAAATGTACTAGAATGAAACAGTGAATAGCTATTTAGCCTCTACTTAAAACAATTTAACAGTAAGCATATCCAAAAGCTAGGTAGAGCTGAGACAAAGTGTTGTTCGTTTCAGTAAACATGTTATTATCCACTCACTGAGCTGCAGTTCATTAAAAATGTTTTCATATCTTATTAAATTGAGATAGAATAAAACCATCGTCGTCGTTTTAACATGACTCCCTCAGTCGATGTCTGACTTTGACCATAAGTACTGGTAATTTGAAATGTTTTTTTAAAGTAACCAAAGTAGATGGTAGAAAATAGTTGAACAGGGTAACCTTTTTATAGGTTCTAACAAAGTCTCACAGTTCCTCAATGAAGACTTTAGTGTTAATCCGATTTTGGTAAATGAATTCATCGGAATGACCGTATATCAAGCTATTTAGCAAACCATTCACCACTTGAAGCCCAGGTTTGACACGTAATGAATGTTCTGGCTAGGGATAATTAAGACTTTACGAAAATAGTACCTACGGCGCTGAAAAACTTAAAATAAGAACAACAAACCCTCTTCTACAGACTTTCTACGACGAAAATCAGGACATCTGTACAAATATCCATTAACAGAAGCCACATATCTCTATCAAGTCATTACGCTAATACATCGAAAAGTTTTATTTACTAGGTGCTTCGCTGATTGCTTGTTAAAATTCATTTTTATAGTCATTCACTTGGGTCTCTATAGTTTACAGCAATCGTTGTAATTCCTTTCATGTGACAAAGGTCTACATAAATAACACTTTTCAACTAGGAAACTAGATCTGCTTAAGATTGAGTGTAATTCCTGACAGGCATATCAGATTCTGGTACGTTCATTTATTAGTGCACCTTTACATTAAATATATACATATCTTACCTTGCCAATAAAAATAGCTGTCCCGTTGAATTAAAGACATATAGTGCCTTAACAATCAAATACAGACCAGTGAGATAGCTACTGGATTGTGGTGAGCAAGGTCGTGGGCCGGGAATGCGTGATCTATGGGTGATTGTAAGCGGAAGAATCGAATACCATGAATTATTGTCTAAAGAGAGGAATGGATTAAAAAAATGCGTGCTTCTTTACCTTTATTCAACCACTGCTCATTTGTACTACCTAGGCTAGATATAGACGTCTGAACAACTGAAACAGAACTATTATTCTTGCGAGTACGCTTTCTTCTATGTCGAATAATGAGAGCATCTTCCAAATGACGTACGACATATTCAAGATGGTTTACACTGGAATGCATTGTCTCCTCAAGATCACCTGCTTTACTGGCTAAGTCCATTACTGTCCACAACTATACAAATAAGAAAAATAAGGAGAAACATTGTCACATACAGTTATCTTATTCTGAACAATACGATCTTATTTTTTAATGTACTAGTATTAACGTAACAGCTTCATAATTTTGTAATTAATGGATCCGAAAAACAATTAAACATCATTTCGCGAACAGTACTGTCTTCAGTTAGCTTAAGAACGATGTACATAGCCTTGCATTTAAACCTTTTTAAGTAATGACGGCGAATTTGTCGCACGAATGATGTAAATATGGCAGTTATAACGACGATAATAATAATAAAAATAATAATGATAATAAAGTGAACGATAACAAAAGTTGAAGCGGGTGACACAAAAAGGTGATAAGAATAACGAAAATGGCATGATGGTGTGAACCTTTCAGTAATATTTCATGCCTTTGGAGTGTGCAAAAGTTCATTTGTCAGAATAACAAAAAAACTTCTCAAATTGGAAAATCGCTAGTAATGTACTTCCATAGGAGTTTTCACAGCTTTTCTGCATCATAACTCTTGTTCTGTCAGTATGTCTTTTGAGTTGAAATAATTTTTAATATTATATATTTACATTTATAATAACGTGAGCCATTTTAAGTGTTTTAGTATCTGAAGAAAGCTGTGAAGTAAAAAAGTGAGTTGTATTCATCGTCTGAATACCTTCATTTTTGCTTTGTTGAAGAAAAAAATCCTGTGAAAGTTCATCAACTGGGAACTACCTTTGTGATAAATCTGTTTCTAAATCGAACACATGAAGTTTTAAACTCTAAGCTCATGAAATATTATTGAAATGTTTACATTGTAATGTTATCTTCATTATTCTTATTGCTACCGGCTTCAATTGCTTATTATTATAATTGTTGATATTACTGACATATCTGCAATACCTAACACACATTTAATCTACAGATTCACCGTTATTGGTCACACGGTTTCGATATACAAAGCTATATATATTAAACTGAAGTCTACGGAAGATCTAAGGGAAGCAATAGTGTTCGCTTATTATGTTTTGTAGCTGGAATCAAACAATACTTTGCATTTCGAAGATACGTAGATGGGAGGGAATTCGTAAGTGTTTATAATTAGTGATGCAAATCTAGATAAAAGCGAACTTCATTCAAAATAACTGATAGATTTCAATGAATTATTAGTGTTACTGATAACCAAAAAGTATTGAGTAAACAATCTGTCGTAGCTTATGAATCTTATTGATTATGTACTCGTCACTTCATGAGAAATCAAAACTAGACTTTAGAATCTTCAACAATAGGAGTGTGCATTCATTCAGGTTAGCTGTTCAACATGTATTTGTCGTTTACATTAGACTACAGTTTTTCCATATCATACATTAACAGAGGTTAGAAAATAAGAGGCAATGATTTCTAGATGAGTGACTGGGCAGTAATCCAGTAGCAGTAAAAATCAAAGGTTTTAGTTTTGATTCTCAGCTTAATCGTCTGTGGGCACTAACAAATAATTGGATTTCACAGAGTGAGATAAGTTAACTTCTCTTTATTTCGTAGGTTTTCATAGTGGCACAGTTTCATGAAAAAACGACCTAGAAGATTTACATAAGCCGAAAACAAAGTATATTTAGTCAGAAGTCAAAAAGTAACTAAAAAACGGCTAGAAAGCGAACGACTGAATATTTGTTTCTTTTCGTTTTTGGTTAAACTCTTAAACAGTAGATCTCTCTATGCAGTTTCAACCAAGATCCAGTCTATGATTGTAAATAATCATTCATTAGTTTTATTGTTGACATCATTTCATAATCGAAGCAACTTCAGAACTGTTCACTGCTTCACAAGGCGTACACTGAAATTCAACGTGTTAAGGTCTGATATTAAGCATTTAGTTTAGACAGTTCTGCTTTAGTTTAATCAATAAAGAATACACAACACGACGTATTTCATAACTAGCCGATTAAAATTTGCCGCAGATGTGTAGTCGGAAGAATTTAATTGTTTCCCAATGAATAAAAAAAGTTGTCTCCTAAGTGATATAAAGGTAAGACTGGTGATTTATTTTTCCCTGAAATAAAAATCTGTCGTCATCAATCATTTCTATTAAAGTGGAGAAAAGATTCACGTGGGAAATTAGGTGGATACTTCTGCTTTCACTGCTTTATTTTAATTGTGATCAGTCGAAATATGAATTGAATAAGTAAAAATGAATAAACTAAGCAATACTTCTAATGGTTGAAATGCTAGACAAACAATCTATGAGATGTAGCATTCTTATTCAGCGTTTTCATTCTGTTCGTCAGCGCCAATCTTTTTCATCCTTGTGAACAATAAAAGCTTGTTAGCCCTTTTCTTCTACACTCCTTGTACACATAATAAAAAGCTGTTTCTAAGTATTAGGATGCAAGGGAAGGATAATGTTTGAGTGCTGACAGTTACTTCAACTGCTGACTTATGTTTTTGCGGATATATCGTAAAGCAAATTCTGATCATGACGTGTAATCAAAGTGATCTTGGTAGGAGGAACGTTTATGTCTTCCAAAGAGGAGATTTATTGCTGACTGAAGTTATACTGATGTACTTTCTACTGGAGGTAAGTTAAATCTATTTGAACAACCTGTATGGGACTGATTGACCGCCACCCCCCATTCATCAAGAACCACTATTGATGAGTATTTCCTTGTTCAGAACTCCTCTAAAGCATGCATTTCAAAACTGTGTATTTGGCATCAACGTGGAAATATACGGTTTTTAGCGGTCTCATTACCACTCACTTATCAATCTGAAATTCAATGGCTTCTATTTCTCAAAAGCATCATAAAATAATGAGTAACTATTCCTCCCCTCCCGCATTAGACTCAACTACTTTTGTACTATATTACCTACTTCAGATGCACAGTTAACACTTTCGAAGCATAAATGCATGACAGTATATACAGCTAGTCGATTCTATGAGTAATTAGAAACCAATCATAGCTACTGTTAGTCCTTGTTGGCCAGATCAAATGGATGTAAACACCAAATGCCCTTTTCACTCGTTTGCGGCGATGTATCCGTGTTGACTCAGCTTTGAGAGCCCAGTCACTTCAAACCACCTGAATTCTGAATAGCTACTTAGGCGGACTGGTAATAAATTAAATCAAATTCTCAGTTTGCTAGTTAATTGGCGATTTGCAATTTACACAGTCTGGAGCTGAAATTTAATCACTGTTCCCTTTCGAAACCATCATTAATTTGATCAATTCACGTAAAATTTCATCTCTAACATTTTAGAGTGAAAATCGGAAATCAGTTTGCAAATTGCGAACTCTGTTTAAAATTTCCCAGCATTTGTCTTCATATCACGCACCACATAAAGCAAAAGTATCTGTTTTACTGACATTTCGTGGCAAATATTAAGTAATAAATAAGTTGGTATTAACTTTTGAGTGTAAAATAGTCTGCTTTGAACATTTTCCAGTAACAAATGACAGATACATAACTGAACTTCATCTTCTTAAGCAACAAGGCAGTGCTAGGAAAATGTCGATCACATCGGAAGTAGATGTTCACGTCAAGTGGAGAAAGGTCATGTGTTATGCTACTACTTTTTTATGTTAAATTTTCCAGGTCACTGATTCCTGCGAAAAACCTACTGATCAGAAGTAAAAACAACTTATCAATATCAAACTTGTAGATTGAATAATGAGTTCACAACAATAACTGCAACTTTAACCCTAATTAATGACGAACGAAAATTTCATATGATGATAAATAGAAGTTATGAAGATTGACAACAAGATGATAGACATGTATTTCATGTGTAGAAAGAAAAGTGAAGTTTAAAAACTATATGAAGTCATTGTGAAACATTTCGGTTCAGGAAATAACAATGTGCTCAGAAGTGTACACTGATTTTGTTGATGGCAGCGTTTCCTATAATACTACATAGAATGCAACCACCAGTTTCATATAAATTTCGTCTGTTGACAATTTAAACCCAGCGCCCATTTAAAAAATGAATAAATAAAAAATATGTGTAACTGGTTGAATTTCGAGAAAATTATTTTTAGCGAATCAGAAAGTTTACAAGCAAATGTTTGACTGAAATTATAATCGAATGGAGGATTTCATCATGAGCTGACATCAGTTAGAGAACCACTGAAACCCTCCATCCAAACAAAATCAATACAAAGCCAATACTTGAAAATATAATCATTGACTTATCTCACTGAACAACTAAAGTTAATAAATTTTCTACAGTTGGTTTGTAAGGATTAGATTTGCTTGTTACGAGTTGATCACGGGTCGATATCAGTTAGAGAACCACTGAAAACCAGCATTGGAGTACTGGACAGCTGTTTCATCCTTGTTCGGGAATCATCGGCAGTACGCATCCATTGCTAAGGTTCGAACCCAGGACATTCGGTTACAAGGCAAGCTTGTATACCATTCAGCCACTGGAAGCCGATTCAGTTACTCATGAATTCTAACTTCTACCAATTCGTGATTTAGCGCGACTCCAGTGGGTGAGTACTGCCTATGATTCCCAAGCTAGGATCAAACAACTCTCCAGTAATGCCTAGTTTTCAATCGTTCTTTAACTAATATCAGTCCGTGATCAACTCGTAAAAAGTTAATAAATACTTAGTGAGCTGTTATATCTGGGAATAAACAGAGAATTAAAGCGAACTTCAAATCATCTTACATTGAGCTTTAATTAAAATGCACTGTTTGGTTTCATCTGATGATTTGATCTCTACAGTTGTTTCCGACATAACTCTGTGTTATGAAAACACATAGTGAATAACGGCAATTAGTCAACCGATAAGAGTTCTCAGTTAATAACTAACTTATTTTATCTGAGAATTTACATCTGCGAGTAAATTTATGCAACTCCCATTTCTCATGTATATAATGAAGTGTTTAGTAGCGTTCAGATGAATGAGATTCTTAAAGTAAACTATCACAAGTCAATTAGTAATTACATAACGTATCTAAAAGACATGAATTTTGAATCAGATAATTTCTGTTTCTGCTGATAATTGAAATGTGTA